AGACGCTCTTAGGTGGAGGCCATCGCAAGTAGGTTGGAGGCCACCGCTACTAGGAACAAGAAGCTACTAGTAGCACCCCACTTCATCCGCGAATGCGAGGCAATGCCAGGCATACCCAAGAGATGAATCGGCCTGGTACCTTATATTAGTTGCTACCACCAAACACAACTAAAACCATATACAGTCATATACAAGACAATTGGGACAACACTTTAAGATTGGATAGCCAGTTCATGCAATTTCGCAAGTAAGAATGGACAAAATGAAGACACATTTAAGAAATAACTGAACAAAGGAAGCTACTAGTAACAAGTGCCACGCTAGTAGTAACAGGAACAAGTGCGTCGCTACTAGGAACAAGTGCCTTACTAGTAGTAACAAGAAGCTATTCATTTCATTTAATGTTACACATAAATCTAATAGCTTTTTGTTACTACTAGTAAGGCACTTGTTACTACTAGCGTGGCACTTGTTACTAGTAACAAGAAGCTACTAACCAATACACACTGAGTGGTGCTGATTCTCACTTCTTGGGAGTTCCCCAAGGCCTTTCTGTCGTCGCGCCACCACCTGCGAATTCGCTCGTGGTACTCTGGTCTGCTGAGCCATTCCTTTTCCTTCCAACTCTAAGTCCTCTGAGTTCAAAGAACCGGCGCACACACGGCACACACGCATCAATCACTGGGAGCCAACTGGAAGCGCACCCCCTCCACTGGAAATGCGTTTCATGTTTCAACTGTCGCGACTGCAGACCTCATGTTGTGAGGGGCGAATCCTCGCTTCGACGCAACTGCAGACCGTTGGCCTCCACCGAAATCTGATCTGATCCGAAACGGTTGGTCAACATGTTCAGCGAGGCCTGCCTCGTAGTCGGCTCGATTCATCCATCTGTTCCACCTGGTTCGATTCAGTTTGTAGCCTTTTTCATCCTTTTTCATCGTTGTGGAGACAAGTCGGCTGAAACACCACCACCACCGGGCAAAATGATTGAACAACACACAACATTGATCTTATGGAAAGCCCTCGGAATCTTCCTGCACTGATCCTGACCCACTTAATCATCTTAATCGACAACATGGTAGGAAACTATCATAATTTAGATCGATTTCAGCTTGGTTCTGAACACCTCTAAGCTGCAACATCTCCGAGCTCTTGGCTGTTCTTTGCCTGAGCTTGGCTGCCTCAACAAGGAGCTGGTTCCACGGCGAGTTTGCAACACCTCCGACCAACTCCAACAACCCCCAAGAATGGCATATGCTCAAAATCACGCCATCAACGACTTAAGCGATCTTAAGCGCATGGTGTGAGCGTGTGACCTTTTCAGCATCATGGAACCAGTGGAAGCCTGGCTGGACTTCATTGGAAGCCGCAAGCTGCCAATGGACTTCAAGCGATGCGGTCTCCCAAACGGTCAAGAAGCCCGTTGAGGCCCCTCGCGTAGATCTTGAAATCATCGGCCACCACGATGTTCTGACCTTAGCTGAGTTGGTTTTGGCCGGGCTCATGACATCATGAGCGCCGCACATGTCTTCACTGAAAGGAGTGCTCCTGTCACTTGTGTTTGGCACAATTTTGAAGAGTAAGCGGATAAGGTGTGCGGCCGAGTGCGCGCAAGTGAAGACATCTCTCAGCCGTTGTGTTTTCAAACCCTGTATGCTGCTCATTCTCACTATCTCGTCTCAGAATGGCAAGTGGCAGCAGCAAGTAAATCAATCAAACATAATCAAACTAAACCAGGCGTTGGAACATATCAAAATGGTGGCCAGCGCACGGATGGATCTAAAGAACTTTCGCTCTCAAATGATGGGTTGGGGGGCATGAACGTTGTCAGCCTGAGCATCCAAGCCCAAAGGATCACAGCTCAAAGCTCGCGGCTGGAAGCCTGGAAGTCTTCGTTTGAAGAGAAATGATCTGCAGCCATGAAATGCAGCAACATGCTTGGCACGGACTGTACATAACATAGGATTACGATCAACATCAATTCGTGGCATTGCTTTTTCCAATTGACAAACGTCAACCCCATGCCCTCTTCGTGGTCACGCTGCATCAAAGCCAATAGCTTGCCATGGTTCGTGCATTGGTCGGCTGTGACCACTTGCCACAAGCGGAAGTGGCTGAGAATGACACATCTCTCGAATCAACGCTGTTTGGGCGTTTGGCCGGAAAACGCCACCACCATCACTGCCCGTTCGCTCATGTGCAATGCCGTCCTTTGGGCACACTTCTGTGGCAAGGATCCCAAATGAGCATTTGTTTAAATCGAAGCAACTGTTTCTTGCCCTCGATGAACCCCGCGACTTCGCGGACGTGGGAGCCGCAGTTTACCGCGAATGGACCGTGCGCGCCAAACATCTACAACCCATCCGCACAAGTCTCCTGGTTGCAAATGGTTGCGGGTTGGGAAGGGCTTTAGTGGCTAGTGACAGCTATTGACCAAAGGCATCCAAAAGCTTGAAAGCAAAACAACCCCAAATTCGCCCATTCATCTGCGTTCCTCGATGATTGAAGCACAGGGAGTTCACCGTAGCGTCAAGGCACGCGTTTGCCGCTCGACACCCGGCGCAGCGGGCTGCGCAGCCGTAGAGCGATCTGGGTGCTTTTTTGGATGAAGACTAAAATGACGTTCTGGAGCGTCTCCAAAGACCTGATGGCAAAAGCCATGACTCCAAACAGAAGCAAGCGTTTCAAAACTCATATGGATCGAAATGAACACATAAACCCAAGGACACACATCCACCATACACCCCCCCCATTCTACTGAAAACGTTGGACCTCCGATGAAAAAGGAGGAACCTGTAGACCCTACAAGCAAGATGACCACCAGAACCCTCCACCTGGCCCAGAACCCTCCACAGGGCCATGCATGTCCCACGCATCGCTCCATTTTTTCTTCGAATCCACGGTGGCTCACACCGCTCCACCGCCCTGACAGGCCGTCGCCTCTGAAACGCGCGTCAGCCTGAAGCGCCAAGCCTGAAGAGGCGCACGGCCACTTCCGCATGATCCGTCCATGGGAACTGGTCGAAAAGGCAAGCCTTCTCAATGCGATGAGTCTTCATCAGCTGCAAGTCTCGAAGCAAGGCCCGAGGATTGCAGGAGATGTAAATCCTCACTCAGAGGCGGGACACGGGACATGGCACATCCTGAGACCGGGAACGCCCTGATCAGCCAATAGACCTCTCAAGTCTCTGTTGCCCTAACGGGACCATTGGGGTCTAACGAGTTCGTCTTGTGCAGGGGTCACTCCCTTTAAAAACAAGTGCAAAAAGACAGCTACTAAACATGCGTGGATGCTTGACCTCTACAATTCTATACTTAACACAAAAAGAATCACAAAGAGGTGCCAGCCGCATTGGTGTCGTTATTAAACAAGAACGGAATATTCTGTCGAAATATTAGACCCATCGAACGCGAGCCGATGGTGTCCCCCAAGCGACTCCAACTCCGCACTCGTGTTTGGAACGCTGTTTCCGAAACGAACAGAACCCAGCGTCACATGATCAAAGCTCTCCGCCATCTTTCGGGTTCGATCGTTCAACCCAGCACGTGGCGGATCCAACAAGAGCGTGCTGAACTCATAGGGACCCTGCAGTCCCAGCGGTCGCAGCTTCTGGAGGTTCATCGCTTCAGCCATGCACTTCCGAAAAACCAGGTTCTCAATTCCTGCTTCCTTAGGGGAGAATGTTTCACTTCTTCACTCCTGGACTCAGGAGACAGGGCAAAATGATGGACAATGGGATGTTCTGAGGGCTGGGAAGCCACTGGTCAAGGGATAATGCGCTTGGAATCCAAGCCCTGTGACACTATTAAACACTGAATAACCGTGACCAGTTGCACTCGAGCCGAGCTTCCTTGGCACAAGCCTCCGCCCCGGCCAGCGACAGCCGGTCCAACTCAGTAGCCAACACCTGACCTGTGCGCCACGCGTCTGCTGCGGGGAGCGTGAAGTTCCCATTGCCACAGTAGATCTCCAGCAGGTCGCCACCAGAGGCAGCGAGATCGGTGAGTTCGCCCGTCACCCAAGATTGCCTGCCAATTTGGTTGGGGTGGTTGTCGTCATGGCCGATGGCTTACTTGGTCGTTCTTGCTTGATCGCGTCAGGCGTCACGAGGTGTCTTACGAGGGCACACGCTGAGAGCGAGCCATAGTGAGCCATGCTACAGAAACGAGGACAAAACAACAAAAAAACATTTAAAAAAAAACATAACGGTGGACAGTGGACAAGAATTACAATATCACTTACAATATCATATCCTAGGTCTCCTCGTTTGCCTCAACCAACACCCCTACCATTCCCTGCCCAAGTGGCATCTGCTGATTCAAGCGAAGATTGGCTTGAAAGAAGCTGCTCTCCAAGAGCCGTTGCGAATACCTCCGCCCTGCCACCTCATTCTCCTGCACCAGGAAGCTGTTGCGCCCCGCCATCCGTTGCCCCTTTGCTCGGAGCACCACCTTCGCATCCAACTCTTTGGCCAAGGCCTGCGCGCGCGGCAGGTCGTCTTCGGGGTCTAGGCGTCGGTGGTACATGATCAAAGCTAAAGCCTCCCCCTTGGTGTTGGAGAGCAATTCCACCTCAAAGGCCTTCCACCGGAGCCTCTTCTCCTGCGCCAGCGCCTCACGCAACTCGGACATCAAGCGATTGATGCGCACAGACGCCAAGGGGTATGCCTTCACAACGATCCATTCGCCGGACTCTGGGTCGACCACCGACCAGTCCAGCGCTTCCTCTTCCCCATGCCGGAGCCCGAAGCGCACGCGATGTCGGTAGTGAAGGAGCTCAGGGGAGGGGACTACATCCAGGGGGACATCACTCAAGTCCGCCAAGAGATCTTGGACCAAATCCACTTTCTGCTGCAAATCGACTTGGTATCCATTGAGATCCGGCGGCGTCAAGGGCGGACACCGAGGCCGAGGCTCAGGCACTGGGTTAGGCCCAAAGCGTTTTTGCCGTCGCTGGAAGCGACTCGAGCCCAGGCCGTGTGCCTCCGCCGCGACTCGTGTCCAAGCCGAGCGATGCCGCAGCTGGAGACCCACACAGGCAGTCTGGATTGCAAAGGACCTCCATGAGTGGTGGCGCCTCAAGTTTGTAGTCTGACCGACTGGGCCACCGAGACTTCGGATCGGGCAGGCAAGATACCCTGGGTGAACCAACATTGGAGCATGGTACAATGCAATACAGGATATCACTTCCAGCAATGGTCTAGGAGGGCATGGCTCTTGTCCTAGACATCGCACAACTGCTATCAACTGCTACTTGTCCACTGGCATGGTGGCTGTCCCACAGCCATTCTTTTCTTCATGGTAGGCTGCCATCCGCACATGCACATGAATGATTTATGCATGACTGCGTGACATCATTTTCAATACATCCGAGTATGGCCATGGCTCAAAAATGGAGTGCCATCCAAACTTGCTGATAAAGTCGGGTGCCATGCACAAGCAAATCTAGGTCTTCGTGAGCTATATTTACTACTATCATCGCAGGTTCACAGCTGACTTTTTGAGCAGGGAAAGGTGCGAAGGCAGTTCAGCAACCACAGCTTGTTTACCTCGGCCGTGCACCAAATAGAAGCTTGATGCCCTGCAAGGGCTTGACCTGATCCGAGGCTTTCCTGCAAAGATTCCCTATGAAGCAGCCGGAGGGGCATAGGGTCAAGTAAAACCAAGAATCAAGTACTATACGCTATACTACGCTCCTTCTTCATCCTGCTCCCCCTCACTGTCACATGTCGGCAGGTGAGGGGACTCAAAATAAACAGTTACTGTAACCTGTTTGATGGACCGGCATCTGCATGAGGTCGACACCAACCCCATTTGACAGACTTCGTGTCGACATGGCGACCGTAGTTCTATGTGTTCACAGTATTCACCTGTGTGCTCTTGACAATCAGGTCCAAAGATCCACAACAAAAATGAAAACAACGGTCCTCTACAAACCAGTGATTCTTGGGGGTTCCAGCCTTGGCTTTCGGTATGACTGTGACACACGGTGTTTTTTGTGACTTTAGGGTCCTTTCGGGTCCTAGAGCGGCTAACTGAAGCGACACCTTGAGAAACCATAAACCTGGTCCCTGATCTGGTTCTACACAACCTGGACCACACGAAGTCCATCGATTGACCTACTGCCCGAATTGGCTTGCTCTGCCCCCCCGCCACTTCCACTTGCCTGGACCGAGACACTGGTGCTCTCTTGTCAAATCACCATCTAAGCAGCATGTTTAAAGAGTATAGGTCGGCCACCAAGGTGGATCCTTACGGGCCAGATATTGGCGTACCCAACAAAAACTTGACAGGTTGGCCGCGGTGCATGGGCTTACTTCGTGTAGGCGATGGAATGCAACAGGTGGCTGCAGGTTTAGAGAAAGTCTGATGATCAATCCATGTTTTCTGTATTCAGCTGCATTCAGCAGCACACCGCGAAACTTTAAACCTATCTAAACCTGGAAAAATTGAAAAAAAGCCTGGCCCCTGAAGCTACAAACAGTAACCACAAAAAGCAGCGGGTCCATTACATTGGTCCATTAAACAAAAGCAATGCTTCTTCACATCACGTCCGCCCCCGTCCTCGGCCCGCCTTGGGCTCTCCACCAGGCTGATCTGGTTCACCTGCTCGGCCTCTCTTTCATCGGCAGCGACGAGCCTGTGAGCGACGACCTGATCTCACGAAGGTGCGCACGGGTTCGTGCAGTGGCGGGCAGCATGGTCGGTCTCCTCGGCTCAAGCGATACGAATGGAAAGAAGGGGTGGTGCCCCAAAAATGAAAAATCAATGCAATGCCTGCTGTGTAAGCGTAAGCAGTGCCGTAGACATCGTATCGAGTTGATGGATTGCCTGAACAGAGTCTGCGCAGCAACGAGACGTTGATGACAGGACTTTGAGGGACCAAGAGGCGGAATGTGAGCTCTTACCTTCAGTCCGGCTAACGCCGGCAGGGAAAGCAATAAGAAGAAAAGGAACCTCCGTGGCTGATCGACCATGGGCTTCCACAATGATTGGCTGTATGAAGCGCTTTTCTTGCACATCCAAGCACAGCGCATCCAAACGGACAGCTGAATTGGTAGCTGTGGCTGTGGCTGGGCCAGGGCAGCCGGCAACAAAAGAAAAACAAGAAGAACCTGCACATCTTGCAAACACGCCCGCTAAACAGTCAAATTGCTCCTCTGTGCACAGTTCTCTCGCTCCCAGCATCACTACTAGCTAAGATTCACCTCCTCAAAACTCTAGAAACATATTGTAAAGTGGAAAACCCCCCTGTTTGCAGAAGAAACAAAAGCTGGTATCCAACAGGCCATGTTCCACTTCCATGAAAAGTCCATTTCCAAGAATTGTAAGCCTCACGACTCCTAACCCAACCTCGGCATCCCCAAGAGATGCCCAACCACGGTATGGCCGGAACAACATAAAGATACCGCATATTATAATAATTATATAGCTGGATCCTTCCACCATTTGATCTCTTGGTTTGAAGTCAGTTAGGCTTGTGAAAGGTCACTTAGGGACTCTAAAAAGGTCATTGGGAAGGTCCTGGTAAAGAAAAACAAAACGCCAAACATCGCCAAACCATACTCTGCGCATCGCTGCGATCGAAAGACGGCGGACTTACGGCCCACCTGAATGAATGGGCCAGTGGGTCTTCACCTTCTCACCTCACGCGACGGGCGGATCAGATGGCCAGCGCGTATGGGCGGAGGGACGTGACACATGTGTTCGGTGATGGGCAGTTGGGAACGCATGCGTGAAAGTTGTAACACGGAAAGGTGCGTACGACGTAATTACTCCTTCACCTTTCTTGATCGCACGGCGCAACACTCTCCTTCGACATTCAGACCGGAGGGCGCCCTTCACTTTTTCCTTCACCCGCGACACAAAGCGTTGGAAAAAGGCTTCGCCTCCCGGAAGCCATGGCAATTTCTCCAGGTACTCCCTCTGCTGCTTCGTCCGCTCCTGCGTCCGCCACTCACGGACGAGCCGGAAGAGATGCGCATCGATGGTCGGATCCCAACGTCGTTGGTCGGAGTGGGAGAAGACGAGTTTGATCCAAGCAGTGGGGAACGAGGATCGCGAGCTCGGTCAAACAATTGGGACAAGTGAGGGTGAAAGATGGTGAAAGGATGTTGCACCATGTTGCGGACACCCCCTTGCGGATTGATGATGATCAACGGTAACATTATCATGATGGATCATGATGGATCCCCATCTTGGAACCTACTGTAAGGACAAACTCGTAGTCTGTCCAAGGGGCGAATTCGGATTTGAATGGATTTGGGGGAACCTGTCCCATCCTGGGTTCCTGGAACCATCGATCTGCATCACTCACATGCTCCATTGCTTTTTCTTGTGCATCTATTCTTCCAGCATGCTTCACTTCAATGTACTTCTCTGAAAACCCCGGTCCAAAACTCCACGGCCAACAATACGATGCCGCGATGCCCATCCCATCCCATCCCATCCCAATCCATCCCATTACCCAACAGGAAGGTCATTATGGTCATTCCACATCCCCTCTGATCACCACTGCTCAAGAACTCCCAGCCTCAGACTTCACTTCCTCGTCTAGTTCCCCACCATTCACGCCCATCTCTCCTGGATGAACGTTCAGAGTGCCGTTCCGAGGGCCCAGCGGTGGGAACAGCACGACCACGACTCTTCCAGCTGGAAGAACCAAACACGGGCCCCCTCTCATCCGAAGAACCTGATCTTAGAACCCTGAGAGAGACATTGAGCAACGCCCAGAAGGCACCATCTCGTCCCAACATCATTGGGGTTGCAACACCTCTCCAGAACACCCACCATGCTATCTATAATTCCTGATAGTTAATTTATGTTAATTTCCACCAAAACCAAAATGCATGATGCACTACGTCCCTGATGACAAGCTTGTGAATAAAATGATGTCAACTGTTTAACAATCAATTTGTGCGATTGACAGCTTGATCCAGAGATATGGAGAAAACAAACGCGATCACCTCCAACGCGCCACCACGGTTTCCGGGGCGCCCCTCTCCTCCGATGCGCTTGCCGATGCCCGACACCAGCATCTCCGGGCGGATGAACAACGGCAGCCCTGAGAGGCCCGAACGAGATCCACCCCCCCCGGGCGACGTTCGGAGCTGTTGACAAAGGTGGATGGAGTTCTGGTGGTGCTTTTTGGTCCCTTCAGGTGCTTTGGCTGAAGTCTTCTGAATGGTGCGAAATTAATTTAAGGGTGCGGCCTGGGCAGATTTTGACGCATGTGCCGTTGCGCCCTTCTCTCGCTCTGTCAGCTAGCATCAATCGGCCGAAGAGGGCCCAAAGCATCACCCCTTACCATCCAAGAAGGGATCAACAATGCACAAGCCATAACCCATGACAACCCTTTATTGTCAATTGTCTGATGTGATGTGAGCATTGAACATTTGACCCCAATAGAAGGTCTAGCTGTGGTTCACAGAATCCTTACCTAAAGCACTTGTGATGTTACGGCGGTTACGGACGACTTGGCAAGCTCGGATTCCACTGCAGACTGTCATCAAAACAGCTCTTGCAAGCTCTGGCTTTTCAAACCTTGCATTGCTAGTGTGAAGTCAAGTGCAAATATAATAGTATATACTAAATATATACTATTTATACTATATATATATAGTGTCAAATATGTTCACATATATATATATATATAGTGACATAGTGTCTGATATTTGATTCGGATGATGTGTGTAAGTATGTTCGGATCCGCCAGGTTTGTCATGTGCAACAGTTCTGCAAGTTCATGCGGAAGTTCATGTGGCATTGACCACCTCTGGTCACTGCCTGGAACAATCCACCGATCGGTTGACATATCACGTGGACCCTCCCCAGTTTGTAAAGAGAAAAAACAGAAGAAGAAGAAGAATAGCGAACATTGTTACTACTAGTAAGGCACATGTTACTAGAAGCGATGCACTTGTTCCTAGAAGCTTCTTGTTACTAGTAGCTTCTTGTTACTAGTAGCTTCTTGTTAAAGATGGCTGGGAGTTGACTAGGCGATCCTTCGGCCTCATCCGCTGCGTTGATCGTCTGAGGACCCCAGCAGGCCCCGAGCACCTCGATGGAGAGCTGTGAGGGGCTGGGAGGAGCTGGCACACGATCTGCTGAAAATGTCCTCAAAAATCTCTGCCTCACCCAAAAAACAACAGAAAAAACATTTCGAATATACATGCCTCGCATACTTGCTTGGTTTGCCCAGCAGCCCAGCCTGTTCTTATCTGGCTGTCCCCGCCAAAAAGCCCTTATAACTTCCACTCCCGCTAGCAGAAGTTTTCGGTCCATCCCGCGTCCCGGGCGCCCAGGAGATGGCCAGGAAGATGGTGCCCCGCTTGAAGATCTGCCACGGCACCACGCCGGGCCTTGATTGTCCACGTCGCATCCCAGCCGGGCAGTGTTTGGGAACATGCCATTGCCTCCCGCTGGCCCGGTGGGGTGGGGAGGAGGCTCTTTGACTGAAAGAGTTGGGAGGGAATTTGGAATGATTTGCTGGGGTCTACTTTAAGTCTCGGAGAAGGAGGGAGAAACTAGGAACAAAGGGAAGCGATGGAACACCAAGGTGTTCCAACGAGTGTTGATGGGCAATAATTATATACCTAGTACAGCACATGCTGTGAAAACGGCGTTTCTTGACAAACGGCCAGCACATCTGAGATCCATCAATCTCACAAGGAGGGCTTTAAAGGAAAACACCACAGATTAAACAACATGAGATAAAATGAGGACCCGTGGGAGGAGCAACTTCACCGCCTTCCATATCACTGGGGAAGACTGAGGATCTGCGCTTCAGATCGCCATAGCCCACCAGCACATCCTGGACGGTGAAGGCGACGGGTTCTGATGGGACGTTGCGACCAAGTTCTAGGTCGCTTGACGTCCCGAAAGCAAGAACGTGATTCCCCATTTGAGCAGTTCAGCTTCAGAGGGGTGACACTCTTGAACGTCCCCACACCTTCACTTTCCTCAGGCCAATCACCTTCACCTCCCTGCCGGCCACCCAAGTTCTCCTCATCTGGCTCTCCATGTAGTTTGTTATCTCGGCCGAGCACGAACGGAAGGTCACATCTGTGAAGCCTGGTGAATTCATTGGATGTAACATGATGATGCAACGATTCCGTGCATGGATGACTGAGAGGCAGTGAAGGCAATTCAATGTGGGTTCCACCCCAAAACGCTAGTACAAAACCGGGTCCTGGCTGCAGCATGCTACAGCCACCAGGTAAGGAAATGTGACATGTGATATTATGGAAGAGCTGCAAATCCATGACACTAAAAAACGGACACTGTGAGTGTGGAGTTGCTCATGGCATAAGGGCTGATTCTCTATGGGCCCTTGGTGGCTTCTAGCCACGAGGTGCTCTTTCCCTGTTTCTGTCCTCAGGGCGTTGTGGTCTTTGGAACGACCGGTTACGCTGGTTGCATCTTGGCCTGCCCCTTGGCCTGCCCAGTGTAGACCCCGGCTCGAAAATGGGAGCCTCGTGCCAGGAGACCAGCAAAAGAACTCACGAGCCAGGCTTGAAAAGCCCCTGGTCCGGGCTTGGTCCAGGTTTGGTCCATCTGTGCTCTTCCATCCTCTTCCCGCAGTTTGGACCCATCTTAGGCATACCGATCGTAGTGGTCCTTTGGACATCACGCGGTTTGGTCATGTGTCTTCTTTCCACCGCCCTTTCCTCCCTTGAGATCATCCATCCACCGGCGGCCAGCATCGGGCTCGGTGCGAGCACGTTCGGGGCGGTGCGCGCGCTTGCCCCCGGGACCTGATCAAACGCCCACGGTCGGTGCCAGCAGAAGATTCAGCAAGCAGTTGATTTTTGGATATTTTTGGTGCGCTGTCTTGCATGTAGAGAGGCTCCATATACAGATATATATATATATATACATACACATATGTCACATACTGTAAATACAGTAGCAATTACAGAATTTACAAATATACAAAATGATTAGGTAGACGCATGTACAGGATCAAAACACATTTGCAAACGCCTATAGGCCTGTATGCATTTTGCCCATGGGAATCACAACTCCCAGACATTCTAGCACCCCAAAAGGAGAAAAGAAAACAAACCCATGTTTCCCGATCTGTTCCGCATCATTTCGCCGCCCAGGTCTTACCCGGCACCAACCAGTCGAACCGCCCGAGCTTCGAACAGTAGGAGTCCATGCCCTGGCGCCTTAGATGATGGCCATCTGTGCAAACCATGTCCCGAAATCGGGAATCGCGATATGAACATATATGAACCGCTTTCCTTGCAAAAGACTCATGGTCTTTTGATGTCGGCCTTCTTTCTTTGAAGGATTTTCAAAGACTGTGCTTGTCCAACCCACCAGCGCTGGCACGTTGAGAATCTGCAAAGTGAGAATTCTTATATAATTCTCTCCAGAAATCTCCAGAATGAAGCTTCTCAGTCAAGTCGAGTGTGTGATCTAGTTCCAAATTCCACATCATGGGGCCTTCCCTCGCGCGACGTTTTGGGAGTATACAGTACATGTTGGAGAACATGTTGCCCTGCTCCTGTTACTGGGACCAACTTCTCAGGCCACGGCTTTTGCGAATCTCTTTCTGTACATTGGGGTCCTCAAGCTGACCAAAGAAAGGGCAGTGAAAACATGAAGATCTGCCAAATTTATCTGGTTTGGGATCATTCATCAGGGTCCTTGCACCAATGCTGACATCCAAGGGTGCAAGGGCAGCTTCTTCAATCAATGACGCTACAACAGTTATTCAGAAGGCAAATAGCAGAACCAACTCTTGATTGTCTTGAAAGGCGTCGTGAGTACTCTTTTTTTTCTCGAGTTGAGTCCGTGCGCAAAGCGCTCTGTACGATGGCTGTAGGATGGATCTCAGGCAACGGCGACTTATCATCGGATTGCGCCTCGCTCAGTCCGAATCGTCACTGTCCGAATCGTCGTCCTCGGACTCTTCCAACCACTTCAAAAAGGGTGCCGCCAGCTTCTTCGCTTCCTGAAAACCTGGTTCTCCCTTTCCTTTGTCATCGTTGTAGTACGACAGGATTTCCTTGTCCTCAGCCCACTCCTCATCGTAGACGACCTTCAGCAACATGGCAAAACTTTTTGAAATGCCTTTGTGCACGTCGAGGTAGGCATCCAAGGCCCAAAGCACTTCCGCTGCACACATCTTCGGACTGCTGCTGATGACTTTGTCAACCAGCTTCTTCTGCCCGGACAAGAATTCGGAATTCATGGCCTCCTCACAGAGCGCCTCAAAAGCAATGAAAAGGCGGACCTTGTTGTCAAAGACCTTCGAGAGCTGCTGCATGCGAAGCTCCTCGAAGAAGGCCGCTGGCTTTGGAGAGCTGTTCTCCTTGAGCCAATCTTTCAGCACGCCGACCACGGCTTTGGTTTGCTCTTCATCGTGCTTGAGATTCTGGACGTCTTTGTCATCGTCATTGTCATCGTCGTCGTCATCGTCATCATCAGATCATCGTCCTTCTTCTTTTTATCATTTTTTATCCTTCTTTTCTTTCTTCTCCTTGTCCTTTTTCTCCTTCTTCTCCTGCTCCTCCCTCTCCTCACTCAGTCTCTTAGTCGCTGGCGGGTTCTTGATGATAAAGGCAGCAGGCTTGTCGACATTGTCCAGTTCACCAGCCCAACCACAGGCATTGCAGCGGCCCTGGATGATGCCGTTCTTGACATACATGTCGATCTCAGCAAGTTTGCAGTTCTCGCAAAGAACGTACTTCTCAGTGAACTTGTCCAGGGAAACTCTCAAGTCCTCTTGCTGATGAGCTCCGCGGACAATCGAACGTTCGCCTTCGCCTTCCTTGTTGGTGTAGTTCGCTCGGGCTACCTGTCGAAGAACTTCGTCACGTACTGCGGCGGACGTTTGATGGCCCGCGGTACCTCGCCCGTGTTGACAATACACGTCTTGATTCCATTGCCACGCCCCTCAATTTTTGCCTGCAAGCGCGGCATCTTGTTTCTGTACTGAGGGTCGGTGTTTGTGGAAGGAATGTTGACCATCGACATGGCTACGAACTGAAAGCGGCTCGAATGTCCTTGCATGTCCTTGCTATTAAGCCCTCGGAGGAATGCAGTGTCCTCTGCCGGGCGCAGAAAGACAACCTCGAGCGCATAAACAAGCCGCGGACAGCTGAATCTGGCACTCAAAATTTGGCTGCGCCGCGGGTGCGGCCTCTTGAGTACTCTCTCTCTCTCTCTCTCCATGTGTCGCTTCTATACGACTTACTTCAGGCAAACAAGTTTCTGCTTTCTCTCAGCTTCACTTGGACCTGGCCTCTTTCGAGGCTTCATCGACCACTCTCTCTCCATCAATCCCCATCGATATCCCGTTTCCTCGACCTCTTCTGCCCCCGATGACTCGTCTTCGTCACCCACCATGTACTCAATAACCTGCACGGTCAAGAGGGTGGCGCCAGCTCCAAACACTGGGCGTTGGTGGAAAGGCACCAAAACGCATGAGTACCTTTGTGGGACAACCCAAACGACCCAGGCGTGAAGAAAAAGTCTGAAGGTCAGGGCAACCGACGAAGTGGTGTCCAGCATCCATGAGCCCTGAAGACGGGAGCCACTAATGGCTTCTTGCTCCTGGTAGTAAGGCCAGGAGCCCCTAGTAGCTTCTTGTTCCTAGTAGATTATATATCCTCTACCGACAGATGGTCTATTCCACTTCCATGCTGAGTCAGACTGCAGCCTCGTCACTGCTTTGGATCATTTTGGACCTAAACCTGTTCTCATTCTCCACATGAGCCACGAACACCAACCATTCGTGCATTTCGTACCCATTCGTCACCGAAGTCAGGTCTAGTGAGAAAATCTCTTAAGCCTCTCCGACCTACCCCACACGGTCCCGGAGGGGGGTCGCGGTCCGGCCTCTTGGGGACCCAAGCGTGCACTGCGCGCCGTCTCCTGCGTCACGTGTCGATCGCGGAGGAGTCGACCTGTCCAACACCTGGACCTGGCTCTTAAGGGCTGGTAGGGACTAAGGTCTTTGGTGGGCCTTTCAAGGTTCCAGAACCTGTGACCTCAAATCAAGTCAGGCCTTGGATTGCTTTCTCCAAAGATAGCGTAGGTCTGTAGGTCGTCATGCTGATTGCTGCTACTACTCCAAGTTGGTCTAAGTCCAAAATACATCCAGATGCATTTAACAAGAATGAACACAGCTCTCACCATCCATCTGCTTCTGGTCATTTCTTGTCTCATACACATCCCCACGCCATCTAACACCCATCTAACTTGCCTCGACCCATCCCGACCGCTTGCGGCGATACCGCGTGCCTTGCGCTTCTTGGCTCTCTGAGACCTGGACCGACGTCGGGTGGTCGTCCAGTGCTCTGGTGGTCTGTGGTCTGTAGAACGGCCCCAACTAAGAGATGTGAACTGTCTGGGAGGTGAGGTGTTCCTGTGTTCCTTCAAAATGCTACAAGTACCAGATCCACAATGACCTGGTCTGGTCATGTCTTGTGGGATTGGTTTAGGCCCGCACCAAGCTTCGTGCTCATGCAAGTGACACAAAAACAACCTCAGGGCATCCTCCTTTAGTAAAACCACGGACGCCAAAATAAGCAATAATAATTGCAACCTGTGTTGGTAAAGAAGAATTGCTTTCCAGGAGCCTGTGATCAACTTCCATGACTTGTGAAGTTCCTTGACGCTTGCTAAGCACCCCGTCTGCCAAAAGGAATCTGTTCACTGCACTCACAGGTCGAGGCCACCTTCAAGGAAACCTCATTTTCTTGCTCTCGCCGCCGAATTCGTGTAGGCACTCCGAGTTCGTTCGCCCAAATTCTGGAGGTTTAGGACCTCCAGGACCTCCTCATGGAGACGTCCGCGGTGGTCCCACGCAGCGAAGGTGTTGGTCGTCCGCAGTGTAGGTCGTCCACTGGAATGCCCCAAACCATTGTCGCAAGGGATCTTCATCGTCTCTCTTGCCTATTGCACTGATCCTTGGTGCCTACCATTGGCTTCCCAGCAAGCACCAAATGATCCAAATGTTGCCTTAATGGATTTACAATATATAATTGAATTCAATAATCGTCCAAGTAGGTAGAGATTCAAACATTGAAAAGAACCACAGCCCATCGCAGCCATGTCGTTTAACCAGCCCAATGCTTTTAGTCAAACCATGTTGAGCCCATCAAACGAGCGCTGTCACCCAAAAAAACACAGACCCAAGCCGAACGCCACACGTTTGGCACCCGGAAAAAACCTGCCTGAGGCCCTGGTGCCGTTCCTGAATCACCCGTCGAAGTCTTTCGTGCTCACCGATCCACGTGGAAGTGGCATGTCGGGTGGAAAAACCAACATCTGAAGCACCATGAGACACCGAACAACAAATGTTCCGCAGAGATCCTGCTCAGGGTTTCCTGCAGGGGTTTGGCATGATTTAAGTCATTTAACTCAGAAACCACTGGAAGGCCAAAGGGGCCAAGAGTCCAAGAGTACATAAGCTAGGACAGTAAAGAAAAAGGATGAAAAAGGCGACGTTGTGTCACTTGTCTAGAGGGGTCTTCCGCACTGCTTACAGTAACTCCCCCGCCAAGCCCTCTCCGTCATTCCCAAAAAAATAAACACCTTTGCCAAACAAAAGCAGCACAAAAAAATGGAATCAGTGACATACCTGAGGGGGAACACAAAATATCGGATCAAAGCTCTTTCGCGTCCGACTCTGGACTGAAAGTGCTGAAACAACATGACAGCAGGTTCTGAATCATTGCACATCTCCCGGCGGGAACTTGCGAAAGGAGCAGTTCTGAATCCCTTGCCCAGGTGAGGCCCGGAATCTGGCACAACATGGTGGTGTCGTTTTACGGCGAGTCTGGAGCGGCCAGAGGTGCCACCAGGGTCCCCGGCCGCGCCGGTTTCAAGCGCCTCCAAATCTTCTTCCAAGATCGACATCGAGCGGATGTCTCTCTGCTCCCTGGGCGGCGAGCCAACGAATCAGAGCTCCAAGCAGTTTTCACACCGGTCATTGGATCCTTCCAGGTGCCCGGTGTTCTGAAGCATGCGAGGAAAAGTAAGAAGAAATTGGAAGAAAAAACATACAACCATAATCAAACCATATCAAAGCCTATTAGCAAGTGGTAGAAGTGGTAGGGTTTGCAATCCAATTCAGTATCACAGATCCATGGCAGCATCCCAAGCGATGGTCTTTCGTGGCCTTACTAAAAATCACTGCCAATACTACATAGTCCCAGTCCAGGTGCTGCTGGCAGGGTCATCCAGTAAAGGCAGCTTCGGCGGTGCCGGTGCCGGGGCTAGTGACTCAAGACGAAGTCTACGGCTCGAGACTAAGCCTGGGAATTCAACCCGAGAATAAAGTCAGGATCGATGGACTTTGTACAATGACAATGAATATTGATTAAAACCGGCTTTGATGCCCCAAATGAGGATCCTGTCACTAGGGTATAGTCAGAGGGTGTTGAGATGTGTTGAGAATTCCGCACGATCAGAGCACATGTGCAGGGCAACATTCGACAAATTGACTGCTCAACGGCCCTCACCCTAATCTTGATCTAGAAGAACTGTCTTTCTCATCTTTCTCATGAAGACATGCATTGAACAACCGTCTATTATAAGACCTTGGCTGAAATCATTCAATCCCGATTCAATCCCAAACTGCTGAAAAAATGACTGGCTGTCTGGGGCGCTGACGCATACCCAAAAGCGTCCGTCTGGACAGATTGCTCATCCGCCTTGGCATCACTGCAGCCTTCTGGACACAATATCCAATCCAACCCACTATGCAACCTCACCACATTCTCACCACTGTGTCACCTCAAACGCACGCTCCCCAGAGTCAAAGCATACTGGGATTCGTCTGGAAGTTGGTCATGTTCCCTTTCCGAGTCGGGCCCACTTGGATGTGAAGTTGCAAAAACGTTCCTCAGTCCGCTCCTTCCACTCCCTTGAGTGTCGCCCACTCTCGGCGGCCTCAGGCAAATGGATGACCTCCCCGGTGTCGGGCTGCAGGAAGTAGGGCGCCTCGTCAAACTGCCACGGCTGGAGAGGGTGAAGGTCCAGAACGAACCAGGGGTGAACCAGGATCCGCTTGTGAAATGAAAGGACCTTCAAAGGTCTCAATCGACCTGGAGTCTGGAAGGTGCTGATTGTTGATTGATGCTGCGCTTTTAGAGGTCCTTAATTCAGTTGTTGTACTCCGAGACCTACCAACACCTGATAAAAGTACATGACAGAAAGCAAACTCCGGGGTGAAGCTGGTGACTATGAATCACATGTCACCTTTTGTCTCAAGTGGCCCGTCGCAGACTGACACAGACCTGGAAGATGATGCTCCTCTACAATGGGAAAAGCCCTGACGCTGCCTCGTACCGGCAAAACCCTACAGGCTTACAGGCCGTACAAGTTCCAGTGCCTGAAACAAACATTGGATGTTCTTCTCCCACCTTCTGTGCTCACGTCAACTATCTAAAATTGATAACGAAATCCCCCTGCAAGAGTTTTTATAGGCACCTCCTCTACTACCGGTCAGTTTCTGAAAACAAAAGCCTTTTGAGAAGCCTCATGTCAAAGCCCTGCCAAAAGCCTTAGAAACCTCCCACCGGTCCATCGCCCGGATTGCCCAGCGAGACTGCAGCCCGAAACGTCCGCACGCCTCGCGCCCGGTGTCCGCGTAGCCTGACATCTTCAACCAGGGCCTGGGCCAAACTGAAAGGGAGAAGCGTATTCAGAAATGCTGTAAAGAAATGCTGTAAAGCATGGTAAAGCTGGGATTTGAGATGAATTGAGCATACCAGCACCGTCACAAGTCTTTGCAAATGCATGCAAGTGCTGTGCAGGCGGAGGAGGGACGTTTGGTTGATCCATCAAGTGACATTGCTTAAAGCTTCACAGACCAAACAGGTCAAACTTCAAACAGCAATGGCCTTAAATCACTCCTGGACAAGGCAGAGCGCCTTGGCCGAGGCAAATGGAAAGTGCGTTCACTCTCAAAGGCAGGTGGACCAACTCAATGCATTGGCTCAGAGATATTACAGCTTGAGACGGTCATCAATGGCTTTAAACCCCGATTCTCACGAAAGTCGTCAAACATCGTCGAACATTGAATTGGAACTTGCGCCACTAAGTGGAGGATGTCCCTCTGCAACAACTACTCTGACCGGAAGGCTGTTTCACAAAACATGATGGCCTGTCAGACAGAAGTGCTTGAGAGGATCATGTTTCCTTTTGGTCCTTCGTTGGCTCCG